CATTTTGAATGTAGAGGTAGCACTTGAGTCGATGTGGTTGCTCGCGAGTGTATATAGTTCGACAGCCCCGGTGGTCTAGTAGTTTAGCACGTCGCCTATCTTTCGTGGTTCAGTTCCTGGCACGCTACAATCATTTGTCATTATTATGATTGTTTGTATTAGTCTAGGAGTTTCCGATAAAGTAATCAACATTTTACAGTTCATTAAAATGTATTAAATTAAATAGCCCTTCGAAACTTCTATCCATGTCAGTAATGTTGAACAGCATTTATTTAAAAGAGTAACACGCAAGTTTCTTTCTCATTCTTCTCGTGATGAGTTTGTGTTCTGAATGAGTGAAAAAAAATACTATTCATGAATGTATGTTAAGTTTATTTGAATTAAGATTATACCTATTTCGCACTCTGTAAGCACAGATCTAAAATATTAAGTTTTTTTTTTATGAATCTCATTTTTGTGTGTGTTTTTTTTTATAACACATGCATATTTATTACATACCCAACCTGAAAAAATACCATCATTATTGCAGTTATACTAGAAGAACATATTTGTAGGCCACTCCTAATTCGCCTTGATGTTCATAACTTTAAAGTATTGTAGTGGCTGCCGGCGGTTTCACCCACGTGAAGTTTATAGCCTATATGTTATTCCGATGTATAAGCTATATTATTGTAAAGTTTCATGAAAAGCCGTTCAGTAGTTTTTGCATGAAAGAGTAACAAAGATCCATACTCACAAACTTTAGCGTTTACAATATTAATAAGATGTATTAGCAGGTAACTGTTTAACATGATGAGGATATGAGATTTAGCACAGCTCCTTTCTCCACGATCAACTGCTTCCATGTGCAGAATTGACTCCTACATGTATATCTCTGAACAATTCACACAGGGACATCTAGGCCAAGATAAGCAGAGGTTGTGTTATCGGTACTGAACATTCGATATAATTACTTAAATATATTTTTCTAAATACATAAAATAATTTAAAAATAAAACACCCACACCGATACAAACAAACATACTCATGAATACAAATGTTTGTACCATGCAAGGAATGGAACCCGTGGCAATCGAAATAAAGCTGTAGTAATGTATATATCTGTGTTTATAAAATATATTGTGTAATTCTAGAATAATCATATATAAATAATAATATATTTAAAGATGAAAGAATTTTTCAAATCGATGCAGTAGTTACGGTGTTATTTTGCTCATAACAAGATCTAATCTAGCACTTCATGATATTTTTTAAACACTTTATTGCAAACATATATAGAAAGGTTATTTAAAAAATTAATTATTAGTAGGATGGAACTCGTGTTCTCTTGTGATGTGATGTAATATATACGAACCTGTGACTATAGTAATCGAGTCTTTCAGATTTTGAGATCATTACCTACTATGAGATTCAATTTCCTTTGCATGAGCACAATCATTTGTTGCTCTGATCGCTTCTGATTATAGTTGGATATGTCAATTAGAAACTACTAACTAATATACCTACGAAAGAATATAACATAATATATATATATATATATATATATATATATATATTAAAAACTATTTAATGCCTGTATACGATTGTGGTTTAATAAATTTATCATTATTATTTAATATAGTACGCTCCATTTGATGGGGTGATGATTTGCCCCTGCGGGTGAAAGTCACCAAACAATCAGACAACAACCATTAAAGAAATGATTTTTAAACGGAAGACAAAGTTTCGTGGATATATTATTAATATTAAATATCATTATAATTATTATATTATTAATTATACATTCCTTAAAAAACGTATCGTGTAATATATAAATACTTGTTAGATAACGAAACATAACAACATAAAAAACAAGGTAAATAGAGAATATTTTAAACAGTAATCGTTTAAGCGCATAACGCTAATTAATGTATTTGCTATTGTTAATGTAATAGGCGTTTGAGAATCAACTTCAGCAGTATCCCAAACATTTTTTTTATGTAATTATAATAATAAAGGCCCAACTATTGATAAGTGATAATATATATAGATGACGGTTACCACTTACCATCAGGTGTATTGTCAACTTATTTGTCATCCCAATTATATAAGTATTTTTTTTTAGAATAAATAAAATTTCTAAAACAAAAGTAGCCTATATATTCTTTTTATAATATTAGCTATGTAAGAAATTAGCAAGAACAAACAGACAGATTTTTTTTTTGTATATATAAATGCATTTAGTGAAAAGCAATTACTTTGAAATTAGAAACGGATACTTTAAATTTATTTGAATAGGTATGAAAGAACCAAAAATAATTTATTAAATAATAAAGAATTTTTCATAACCAATTATTTTTACAACCTTAATTATTGGACCTTTGTATGTCCTATTTTTACTAGACGAATAAAAAAATTTGCTGAAAAAATTATGTGTTAATCGATAATAATAACTTCCTTACATAAAAATAAACTACACATGTACAGACTAAGTTATGATAATAGCAAAATGAATATTTGTAAATAAAATACATAATAATGAATACCTTTTATTTCCTTCATCGTAAATAAACATCCGTTTGTACTGTTCTTATTACATTTAATATAAAACCTTAACATCATTTACTTAAACTATGAAACAATTTCATAAATTTTATATTAAAGATATGAATAAAACAATTCAGTGTTTCAACAATTTATTATTTCTGCTACAAAATTAATGAATTTATTTAATAATTAAAACAAATTAACATTACAATAATCAAAATTACATAATATTTAAAAGCAACTCACTAATAACCAATGCGATTGACTTAACTCCATCGGAACATAAAAAATGTAGATTCTCAATAACAGTCCAAGTAAATAATATTCTTTGTAAATTACGCAATATGATTAAATTTTTATATTTTTAAAAACCTTACTATTTATTTAGCTTACAAATAAATATTTAAAGTATTTTATTGGGTGGAATAAAACATTAATTATAAGCTATCTTGCTTAGAATCCTTTTTAATAAGTATCATAACTTGTACGGGCAATCTCACTTGCCTGCTTACTGTGTACACAGTTGCCGATAGATGCTATTTCACCTCATTATATTTCTTTCAGCAATAAAATCATCAATGAATCAATAGATCAAGTATAGTAATATCATTATGACGGAACTGTGAGCTTCAACCCCTTCATTCTTTGGTTCTTCGAGCCGGATTGAAGCCAAATATTAACAGGCATGTGCGGTTGTACAAATATATTAAGAAACGTATTATAGTCATTTGTAAATTTTTATTACCGTATATATTTCAAATTATAACAAATTTATAGGCACTTCCAATTCCATAACATTAGAATCAACTTTGTTAAGAATAAGATTCGATTAAATTATAAATTATAAAAATTACCAATTGAGAATTCACTATGCAATTTGCACACAAAAACGCGAACTTATAATTAAATGCATTGGTCCAATAAGTAGATATATAACCTTTTATATAGTCACAAACTACGTTATCAGTCTAAACAATTATATATAATAACAACACAATGTTAAAGTACATACTATTATTAATTAAATAATAAACTCGACAACGTTAAATTTAGTAGAAACGTAATGAATATACATATATATATTCATTACGTTTCTACTAATACAATTCTAGATAATACTAATTTCTGATATAAAATATCTACAATATAATTACTACTGCAAACACTAAAACGTAGAAATTTAATAATAAAAAATAAAACTTAATTATCTCTAATAAAATGACTAAAATTAAAATTATTTTATAACTTTTTAGTCATATTTTATTGACCACTATAAATATGTCTCTTTTGAAAGAATAGTCATATATAATAATGTCTACTTTTAGAAGAGACAATATTTAGATTTCTAGAATAGTACTACTACTAAATAATTTGACAATTTATTATTATTATAATGAAGAAGTCCTATTGAAGCAATTAGGTTTATTAAAACAAATCCTGGTTTTCATTACAAAGAAAAAACTACTCTAACTATAGGCATATTTAACATATTTTACAATAGCAAAGGCATTCGTTTAGTTAATCTTACACACTAAGTTAGAATTAATTGTGCGATTGGCATTGTTTAAATCTTATTTTTTTTATAAAGCGTCTGTTCTCACTTTTAAAGTGCATATTTAGTTATTATTAGCATAAGTCCATTTGCAATTATTAACTACGATATGCCAACGTTTTAGAAATTATTTTCAAAATTATCGCCTTTAGTAATATAATTTTAGCAAACATTGAAAGGAAACCTTCAGAATGTAAGTTCTTCTCTTGAACTCAGTACCAACATATTATTTCAATCATTTGTGTAGTGGACTATAAGTCCACTTCATCTGTGGAATATCTTTACGTAACTAAGTCTTATGAGTTAAACTTATGTTTTACCAAATACAGTTTAACATATTCAAGTGTTTCCATTAAATTTGTTTAGCACATATCTAAATCAAGTCTAAATAATAAAACGTATATACGATGAAGTTTGAAAGTTTGAAAGTTTTACTCCAGTGACTTCAGAGAAATCTTGGCATGCACATGTTAAGCAAAAGAATGAGGATTATGATTTTAAGAAGTTTTTTATACGAAAGTAGATGGACGCAAAAGGAGAAGACAACCTAAAAAAAGATGGACGAACCGAGTAAAGGATTATATGCACAAGCGAGTTAGCTCAGATATGACGGCTGATTGATAACGGTGGAAGAATATACTGTGTCAATCTGAAATAATGGTATAAGGGCCAGGCAATGATGATTTAACTGTAAAACTTGAATTTGTTAAACCAACTATATTAGATCAGGGCGATGAAGCCGTAACTTGTAACTACTACAAAAAGCTACTAGTACGAGTATTTTGTCTCATATATCATAAGGCTTCAGCGCAAACTGTTTTGTATGTAAAAAATTATAAATTTAGAAGTACATTTTCAGCAGAGTTTGGCAATTCAAGTATATTATTCTATCATAATTATAATTGCAGATATGTATTGAAAAGTTTTCATGTTAATTACTACCTATGAGAACAAAAATTTTATGCACATACCTGATTGAAATGGGTGTTTTTATAAAATAGCGTAGATCATTATTGCTACAGTAATGTATATGTTATGGTAAAATTGTACTTTATGTGCTATTCGATAGCAAAATATAAGTCCAATGAAAATGTTAATAACTCGCCTAGATCATCAGATATACATAGGTATTGTCAACAATCAGAAAGAATAGAACGAAATACTTGAATATAGGAATTTTATTTTTTCATTTATTTCCGATATCCATCATATAGATGGATATATATGTTAGTAAAGTTACAATACATATTTTTGCCTCTCAATTAAATTATAAATATATACATAGATTATTCACACAAATGACAGAAATACGAATCTAAACATTTTGTTCAGTGTTCCTCTGATTGGTAGAAATAGAAATTCAAATTTTTCGTTCTATTAATTTTCTGTCAGTTTAAAACATACAATGAAAAATTCCGTTTTCATTTTTCTAGTATCATTATGGAGTGTTCGAGTGTTGGTATATATCAAAGAATCACTCGACTGCCTAACTGACTAATTTCAATACCTATTTACTTGTAATCCTTTTAATATCTCCACGAATAAATTTATTACTGGACCCAAAATGGAAAGAGCTCTCACTGGTAAATTCTTACTATATACAAATCTACGCCCACTTATATTGACCCCTCGTATCCTATTCCTTACTCAACTATTTTAAAACCGTCTTCATGAATTCATCACAATCGTCAGTCTCAATTGAACCATCCTAACCACAGTCTCTGAGAGTGAATCATTTCGTTATTATACTATCGAAGTTGTATTCTGAACCGAAGGCGGCTGTCGCTGTGCGCCTTGCCATATACACTTTTCCATCTTTGGTGTAGTCACCACATGTTTTATTAACTTGATAAGGAACATCATCTAATTCCTCTGTATTTTTTAAACGTCTGTGTATTCCATTTTCTTCAGATTTATCTGGTGTAATTCCATTGGACTTAGAAAACCCATTTGTGATCCCATTTCGTGTACTTTGATCGCTTTCAATTTTTTTCTCGGCAGTTTTTCTGCTTTTATAACTTTTAACGTAGAAATTCAGGAAAAGTAGTAGAAATATCGTCACGTTGGCCGATATAAAGTAAGTAAACGGTGCAGAGTATTGGCATTTTGGAGAGAAATGGGTCCAACAGCAGTAGACAAGCATCAATACAAATTGTGCCTGAAATGACAATATAAAACTAAATTAATATAATATAATGAAGGACTGAATCAGTAATACCCTGACTTCTATATTCCAGTAGTCTTGATTTCGAAACTAGCGTTACCAAAAATTCTTCTAATCAATTTATATTTCTGATGGACTTATAAATTGTTATAAAGTTTTATATATGTAAAGACCACTAGATGAGTCTTACCAATTCTTCCCGCTTTCCAAATAACATGCATGGATTAAAAAATACCTAGCCAAACTTTAAATTAAGTTTACTTTAATATGACCATTTGAAAAAACTTACCAATTGCAATTTCGTGACATATTTTTTCCACCAGAGATACTTTTGGAATCGCGGACCGAGACCTGACAGTAAGTAATAAGTGTACATAAACACGTGTACTGTTGAATTCAGGAGTGCCAGTATTGCTCCCTCACCTCCAGATGCAAATTTCAAGTAGCTCCATGAATATATAGCCATTATAACATGGTGATAGACATGTAGGAACGTTATCTGAAACAGATTGTATTTCAATTTACTATATTAAACTTTCTTTGTAAAAAAGATTATTATAAAATTCAGAACTATATAAATGATAATACTGTTTTTTAATTTAGAGGGCTGACAATATTCTCTAATTGCACAAAAAATGAGTCGTCGACGTAAGCCTAATCCTTGTTAATGTAATTAAAAGAGCAACACGCAATTTTCTTGCTCAATCTTCTTGTGATGAGTCTACCTTCCAAATGAGTGGAAGAAGAAAAAAATACGTCTATTCAAAAGTGTTTATATTAAGTTTATTTGAATAAACATTATTTCTATTTCTATTAATATTTATCAATAATAAATCCGTTTCTCTAAGGTGGACTTCGCTAACTTAACTAAGACACATCTTGCAAAACAATATGCTTGACAGGTCAAGTAGGCGACACAGAGGTCTATGTTGCCAGACTGCCATTGGAATATGGACGGTCTTATTGTTACACATGGCATATTCTTATGTCTTTTCTTCACTATATATTACAAATAAAGCATATTCTAAATATCTATAAATCTAGGTGAACAGAGTAGTCTGGCAACATAGACCTCTGTGTCGCCTACTTGACCTGTCAAGCATATTGTTTTGCAAGATGTGTCTTAGTTAAAGGGTGAAATTTGGTAGTAAAATTACAGGTTATTGAGGCTTTACTTTAGTCTGAAATAGCAAGGCATGAGGATACCGCAGGTGTTACCTGAGAACATATTTTTTTTATACTACGATGGAGGCAATCTAGCATACGGCCCATCTGATGTTAATATCCATGGTATAATCGAGGATTTCTAGGTATCATCAGATGACCTGTCAGCTTATTTAGTATCCCAATGGTAAAAAAATAAATGAAAGAAAGAAATCTCTCTGTTTTACGGCTTACTTTTTCTAAACCACGCTCAACGGATTTTGATCTGTTTATTTTTCCCGGAAGGTTTATAAGTATAATACACTTGTGTAGTTATATGACCTTCTGTCACATACACTTTGAGTACACCCATGCGTAGCAGAGGTGGGTCCCCGGTATGATATAATTGCTTCAATACAACAAATGCTATAGTGATTCAGCGTTTACTTAATAAAAGATTATTAGGAAGTAACGACAAATTGGAAGATATTAAAAAAACCCTATTATGCCAAAAAATGTTTAGCATATTTTTTTATAAACGGTATGATTTTCTATCAGATTAGTAAAAACGGATTGTCTAGTCGGTTATTCTTGGATTAAAATTACGTTACGAACTGGTGGCAGATTTGACTTATCATACATAAGCGTATGTAATAGACCTAATCAATTCCTTCCAATCAACCTACCTACCTGATGTAGGGAACATTTCGAATCGGCCTGCTGTAAGCTCTACTGATACTTTAAAAGTAAAGTATCCGTCAGGCTTGATCTTCACCCACTCTATAAGTCCTTCCGTGGGTATGGAGTGCAACCTGCATTTTTTTTATATTACTATGGTAGCAAACAAGCATACGGCCCATCTGATGGTAAATGGTTACCGTAGCCTATGGACGCCTGAATCACCAGGGGTGTCACGTGCGCGTTGCCGACCCTTAAGAAACCTTAATATATCCTTCTTGAAAAACCCCATGCTGTAGTCTCGTGAGAAAACCTGCATTCGTTCGGTGAAGTTGTTAAGATCAACTGCGGCCAATATCATTAGAGTACTCCATACGAATATGAATATTTTATCCATCGTCCAATTCACTGCGATCCATCCCCCGTCCAATTCAAACGGAGATCGATATTACGACGGCCTGAGCCGAGGTTCGAACCTTAAGCGGTGCCCTCAGACTAAAGTCGTATCCGTCAGACGGGAGTTGGCCTTCAGCCGCTCCATAAGTCCTCCCGCGGGTTTGGAGTGCCATCTGCACTCGCCCCCTATCGTCCCGTGAAGCTGTAAAGTCCAGCTGCGGCCAACAGCATTAGAGTAGTCCGGGAAAAAAAAGTATATCATCTTACCTGTTTATTTTTTTTCCGTAAAACAAAGAAAACCGTATCCAATAATTCGGTAAACTTTGCGAAGAAGTACCACCAGCCTACGTCCAATAACTGTAACATAAAACATAATCTACACTAATATTATATAACTAAAGAGTTTGTTATTGTGGTTGAACACGCTAATCTCAGGACCTATTGGTATAAATTGAAGTTGAATAGAGAATTTACCGTGAAAAGCTATATAACTATCTAATATCTAATTGCAAATGAGTTAATTACTAAGCCTATATACTTTAGAATAGAATAGAATAGAATTTTTTTTATTAACTCGTTTTTACAGTAATAACATAAGAAATACAAAAATAATTTACACATTAAAAAACGGAGTCAATGTGGACCACAACTCAGCATAATGCTGGAAATAGTTTCCAGCGCTGATTTTCAGTTGGGCCCCCAGTACGGACGCGCAAATATTACAATTAAAAAATACGTATACATTAACTTAATAAATCAAATACTATGCAATTAAAATAAAAATAATAATATCAAGAGAAAAGTATATAAATAATAAAAAGTAAAATTATATATTAATAATCTTAAATAATAATCCTAAAACATTATATACGTAATGGATAAAAGAAAAAATAAACAATTACAAAGAAATAAAATTAAAAAAATATATATATATATACTTATACTTAAAAAACTATTATATCATCATCACCATCTGCTTCTTCCTTATCCAATTTATTTGTGGTCGGCGTAATATGTTTTTCTCTTCCATTCATCCCTGTTCGCAGTCATCTCGTTATTTACTCCCTTACTTACCATATTATTTTTCACACAGTCCATCCATTTCTTTTTGGCCTTCATGTATATATTCCCCCTTATAACCATTCACATTCATATGTAACACTATCCTTAAAACATTATCTTCATTCCTACGCATTACATGCACATACCACGATAGACGATTACTCTTCAACCTCTCCGAAAACCTCTTAAAAACTATTATACTAAATAAGTAATGGAATCAATTAAAAAAATAATTACCGTAGAGTTTTGAGTGAAGTGAGGATAACGACAACCTGCATACTGAATACCGTCTTTGAAAAGTTCCAATTTGAACACCTGAAATGTAGAGTAAAATTGGTATTAAATACATACATTTGCAACGGAGTACATGTACACCCGGGCGAAGTCGGGGTGAGTAGCTAGTAGTAGATATTTATTTAAACATCTACAACTAGCTACTCGCCGCGGTTTCGCCCGGGTGTACATGTATTATACATATAAACCTTCCTCTAGAATCACTCTCTCTATCCATTAAAAATCTCTCTCGGTTTATTAAAAAAAACGCTTCAAAATCCGTTGTGTAGTTTTAAAGATTTAAGCATACATAGGGACGGACGGACAGCGACAGCCACTTTTATTCATTCTATGTAATGATATTGACTCATCGACGAGAATCACTAGACTCTTTTATGTATATAACTGGCTGTCCCAGCAAACTTTGTTTTGCCATATAAATTAATATCGCTATTAAAAAATAGGGGTTGATGGTAGAAAAATAAAAATTTTGGGTTGCATGTTTTCTTTAATGCCGAATATTACAAAAAAAAAGTCATATAAATAATGGAAATAATTAGGGGAGACTCACCCTTCTCACTTAGGGGTATAAAAATAGATAACAACCTATTCTCAGACCTACTGAATATACATACATATAAAATATTATCTGATTTGATGAGTCCGTAATATATTCTTAAACCACTAAACATAGTAGCTTAGGATTGCATCACGGACAAACAACAAGACACGATTCTTTTACATATTAAGCATAACAGTATCCCTTTAACTTAAAACATCGCCATGTAATCACTAAGTAGAGCTTATATAACAAGTAGTAGACAACTGATATAATTACTTAGATTTTTTTTGTAAATTCATCGTATTATAAATGCGAAAGATTGTAAGTATGGATGTTTGTTACCTACTCTTTCACGCAAAAACTATGAACTGAACGGATTTTGATGAAACTTTACAGTAATATAGCTTATTACAATCACACATAGACTATATTTTATATTGAAATTTAACGCGGGTGAAATCGTTAGTACATAATACATAAAAAACACCCAGAATAATACAAACAATCATGATCGTGAATACATATGTTTGTACCGTGCTAGGAATTGAACCCGCGACCATATAACAGATCTCGTTTACATAGTCGCGAGTTCAATTCCTCGTACAAATATCTATTTAATATGATAAATCCTTCTGATATTTCGACTCAGTTACAAAGGTCCTAGTCGCGGGTCGGAATATTGGGATTTCTTTAATAATTGATGTATGAATGCCTTTTATTTATTGTCCTTTCGAATGTCTATTGTCTGTCGCAGCGACCGAAAGAAAAGGCGGTATGCACGCGTCAGCTGTATTTTTTCAAATGCGTTTAATCTTATTTCGTTTCAAATAATGACTAAATTCGTTAAAAAGAAGTCAGTGTTTTGCGGGCACAGATCTGTGACAAGACGGTAATACGGTTTAAGAGGGTAGATCTGTGTCAAAACGTTCGAAGGGTTAACAAATAATAATACTATGACGGTATGTAGTTCTACATAAGTGTACGCGGGAGGAAGGTCCTCTGAAACCGCACTGTCCAAGACCGACCGAACTAAACCGATATCCAACATGTTTTTTTTTTCTCAGGACAATTCACACAGAGCCATCTAGACACAAGTTAAGCTAGTTAAAACTTGTGTTATGGGTACTAGATAACTGATACATATATAGATATACATAGATATATATTTTTTTTGTAAATACATATATATTATACATAGAAAACACCCAGACCGATACAAACAATCATACTCATGACTACAAATGTTTGCCGTGCGAGGAACCCGCGACCATGGGTCGTAAAGCGGTGTGCTAGACCGCTAGACCACCGAGGTTACTTGTCTTTTACTTTAAAAGTCGGTACAACTTACAATTTAATCAACGATAACATTTCTATAAACTAAGTTATGGTGACACAGGATTTAGGTTACACACCATTCACATTACATTTAGATTTTCTTACGAATGTTACCTGAAGACTACCAACTCTTAATACACAATTATAATTTATTCACCTGTACTTTTTATTTACAATTATTATTAATAAAACAGCTTTTTATTAATAATAATTGTAAATAAAAAGTACATAGTACATAGTACCCCGCGAAATCCGTTCCGCCTTAGAATGAAAGGAGTTTTGAAGTTTAGTTACGCAATAAATTTCTGAACGCACCCTGTTTGAGAGTTTGGTATGGGAAAATAAAATTGAATTTTGCTATTCTCCATACAATTCTTCATATTTTAATACCGTAAACCTTCCCTAGACTTCTACGAATGTTTCAAGACTAAAATTAGCCAAATCGGTTCAGCCGTTCTCGAGTTTTCGTTAGACTACAGCAGACAGCAGAACAGCAATTCATTTTTATAATTATATATAGATAGAACATATGAAATCGACATTTTACGAAAACTACATTAAATACACAATCAAATTGTGGAGTGCTAAGCCGCTAGACGACCTCGGTGTTCTAGCGGTTCAGCACACAGCTTTATTTCCGATGGTCGCGGGTTCAATTCCTCGTACGGTGCAAACATTTGTATTCATGAGTATGATTGTTTGAATGGGTCTGGATGTTTTCTATGTTAATTATGTATGTATTTACAGAAAGAAATATTTAATGGGACTTACACTAGAAGGCAGCTAATGTTAGATAGAGTAACTTGCGCTACTTTTAAATTAGATTTTTTTTTATTTTAATACCATGCAGACCAAGTCGCGGAAAATAACTAGTATTACAATAATTACGTACCTTGGTGCAAATCGCACTTGCGAGCAATACTTGAGCTGCGTTGTAGTACGCAATCAGCTTGTTCATTATCAGGGGTGGTCGATTCTTCATGATCTTGGGTCCCACGTGTATCACCACCAGATAAGCGATCACCACTGACATTATGGGTATTGGGCCCGACATCATAAACCAGGAGTCCACTATTGCGCCTGAAAAAAAATAATAGCCATTTTATTTTTCACGTATATAATGTTTGTACAGTAAGCAATTATTTTAATAATATCACCCAAGATATGGACAGCTTGTGTTATGGGTACTAGGTACTAGACAACTGACAGTCGTCGTGCATGGCAATAGTAGTTCATGCACGGGATTTTCATTGCTAGACATGGACGCCTACATAAGTAGAAGAAGAAAGAAAGAAAGAAAGAATGTAGACAATGTAAATAAGCTAAGTTGAGTGTCAATTATTCTTCTTAATAGAGACTGTATACTGATCTGGACGGTAGGGAAAAAAATACATAGAAAACACCTAGAGAAAACTCCGATACAAAAAATCATACTCATGAATACAAATATTGGTATTACAATAATATACCTAATAGTAGTCCGAAAAAATATAATATATATAATATATACATTATCTAAACGTGGACACTGACGATACGACTGGTCCACCAACTCAAAGTCGCTCAACGAGCTATGGAAAGAGCTATGCTTGGAGTTTCTCTAAGGGATAAAATCCGAAACGAAGTGATTCGCCAGAGAACTAAGGTCACCGACATAGCTCTTCGCATCTGTAAGTTGAAGTGGCAGTGGGCTGGTCATATATGTCGCAGAACCGATGCTCGCTGGAGTAGGCGTGTTCTAGAGTGGAGACCGCGAATTGGCAAACGTAGTGTAGGACGCCCCGCAGCTAGGTGGAGCGACGACTTACGTAGGGTTGCGGGTAGTAACTGGATGAGAAGGGCTGAAGATCGTGCCCAGTGGCGTGCCTTGGGAGAGGCTTATGTCCAGCAGTGGACTGCAGTGGGCTGATGATGATGATACATTATCTCGTAATATCAATTTGAGTGAACGAATTGATGATAAAATAACAAAATAATTACTTACTTTTGCCGACTTTAAGTGAGTCCAAGTATTTGTCCATCTTTTCCAAATAACTCATTGCTTTATAAGGATCTGAGAATCAGAACAATAATATAAAATTACACTTACTATAAACCAAAAAGTCAATCAACAGACTCGTATATGTCATTTTGATTTAGTTTTTTTTATCGCATGCTGGAGAGTTTCGTCCAGTGTTATGTTTAGAATTTTTTTTATTACATCGCGGAGTAGTTTTCCGGCCAGTGTTAAGTTTAGAAAATACTTTTTTTTAATAACTATTTTAAGACAATTTCTAGTGTAAAACAGAAAGAAATAATCTAAATATAACTCAATGCTGTCTGACATAGTGATCTATCAACGCACAGCCCAAACTACTGGACGGATCGGGCTGAAATTTGGCATGCAGATAGATGTCATGACGTAGGCATCCACTAAGAACGGATTTTAATTAAATCTACCCCCAAGAGGATAAAATAGGGAATGAAAGTTTGTATGAAACTTTGTCAAATTTAAACCGATCGGGCTGAGACTTTGCACGCATAAAGCTACTATGACGTAGGCATCCCCTAAGAAAGGATTTTGATAAATTCCACCCCTAAGGGGATTAATTAACACGAGCGAGGCCGCGGGCAAAAGCTAGTTTATTTATAAATTAATAACAATAGCAAATATAATGACATCAATTTATTTATAGATCCATCCTACATAATAAGTACTATTTATTTTATTTAATGTATAACAAACAATGTGAAATATTATGTGTTATATATACATACATGTATATTACATTTATGATTTTATAGATATATTATATAGTTTTAATTCTTTTACCGAAGTTACACAACATTTTTTTATATAAATTCATTGTTGTAAAGTTGCTCTGTTGAGGGATTTTAGCGTCCTAAAAATGCTGTAACATATATCATTTACACGTGTCTTTTATATTAATTAATAGGAGGAACTTAATTCTATACCATACTATGTTTAGAAATCTTTATAAAGCATATGACAATGTCCTTTAGTTTGAAGAGAATATACACAATGAAACAAAAAGCTCTATAGAAATCTCAATTGCAGAGTATGTACATAGATATATATATATATATATATGTAGTTACATAGAAAATTAAATAGACTACTTATCTGTCTTTGTACGCGACCTTAAAATAAAACTTTATTGTACTTAAATCTTAACGCTATAATTAATGATAGCACGTTTCTTTATGAAAGTTTTTCATTGGACTTTTATTATGATGTGGGTTCAAAGTTTAAAAGTTTACTTCGGAGCTTTTGAAGACGATATCGTAACTAACAGACAGTTGTGATATCGTATACGCCCGTACGTAATAAATATTACTTTTATTTAAGACAATAATGTTCTAATAAGTTAGTAATTATTTAGTAACTTATTAAAAATAGGTATAAAATCATGTGGACAATCATATGGACAATCAAAACATCATAAAAAAATTAAGAGCATACCGGAATATCATGACTGAAATTTGAGAGATAATGCATGAGCATTATCTCTCAAATTTCAGATATAATTCATTTATTTTCTGATTTTATTGCTTATTTATATTTTCATTTCATTTTTATTTTATAACATATATATGTATACTAGATAAACAATGTCCACTTCATTGGGCTGAAACATTTTTACTTGTGATAAAAGTATTCGGTTAGTGCTAAATACTATGATTTTCTACTATTGTTTTATAGTGAAGGTGAAGGTGAGTATTGCTGTATGTCGGCAAAGGGGCCCGTTAAACCTACACCCGAGTCACAAGTCCCGGGATATGCTTGGTGTCTCGCTCTCCGCCACACGATGGACCCGATATTTGCACGATGAATCCATAGAAGGCTAAAAAATTCGTCTCTCTACTAGTTGCAATTAAACCTTAATGTGTATACTAAGATCTGCTAGCTATGCTGACATACAGTTCACAAGATTTCTAGAAATAGAAATAGAAATAGAAATAATCTTTATTCAAATAAACTCATTACAAGCACTTTTGAATAGTTCTAGTTACAAGATCTATTTATGTTTCCAAATTACCCAAAATCCAAACCAAATATGCAGATATAATTGAACCCAAATCGATCTAGTTTAGGAGGAGTTAAATGACAAACATGCATATGGAAGGAGTATCTTATTATTATTACTATTATAATATAAATCCGAAAGTTTATTAGAATGTATACTATTATTTTTTTTATTTTTTTTTCTATTTGAGTATTTAATTGCATTAGTGCTAATTGGTGGTTTGTATTCACACACTTAAACTTAAAAATGTAAAGTGATAATAAAATTATTTAAAAGAGCAAAACGCAAGTTTCTTTGTTCGTTCTTCTTGTGATGAGACAGCTTTCCGAATGAGCGGTAGATTAAAAATGTAATGACTATTCAAAAGTGCTTCAATGTAAGTTTATTTGAATAAATGATTTTCTATTCTATTCTGTTCTAATGGATGGATGTTAGTTACTATTTCACGCAAAAAGTACTTAACGGATTTCGATGAAACTTTACAGTAATATAACTTATAGGCTAAAATATCAAGCGGCCGAATCCGCGGGCACAACTAGTATAAAACAACAATATTAGAACTCATTCAATCTCAATATGTGATACTTACATCCTCTCATAAATCCTAACAATAATGTACAACACAATTCAAGTATGATTTATAGTGTGAAGAAAGTTTTCTTCGATTTGCAATGTCAGCTCTCCAGTTTTAACCTACTTCGCAGTCAATGTGTACGTCAAATGGTGTTTTAATGGGCATTGCAATATTGAGAATAGCATAAGAAAGCTAGTAAGTCAGTAAAATTGCATTTACAACTGTTTTGTATCTATTCCAACTTCCGTTAGACAAAATTATCTTATCTGTGGTTACATAGATAAATAAAGTCTTTATTAATTACAGACAAAACATATATGATTTACAGAAAAATAAAAAATGATGAACTCAGGACAGTTCACACAGCGCCATCTAGACCCAAGTTAAGCTATTTTGTGATAACTGATACAAATACATTTTTATTTTCGTAAATACATACATATTATATATAGAAAACACCGAGATCGATACAAACAATTATACTCATGAATACAAATATTTGTGCCGTGCGAGGAATCGAACCCGCGACCATTGGAAATAACATTGTGAGCTAAACCGCTAGACTATCGCGGCCTTCATTATAAATGAATTAATAAAAGAAATTTAGGTGCCTTTATGTGCCACAAAGGTGAATAAGCAGCCAACTCAGCATACAGCTACAGATAAATCTGCAGCTCTGGTATTCAGTTGGCTCCTGTACTTAGTTAGACGTACCTGTGTAATTATATTGTCAGTCTGTACATCGATTTTATATTTATCAACTCTGGTTGACGGTTACGTAAATAGAAAAGAATGATGTTAGAATATTCAGTGCTAGTAAATTGCATATGCTTCTCTAATAACCCTCAGAATATAAAATTGTGTCTTTTTAATTTGACACGGACATTATTTATAAGTATTAATAATATCAATGGACAATTCACACAGCGCCATCTAGACCCAAGCTGAGAGATTGTGTTAAAGATAGAGATTTTTTTTGGAAAATATATACATATATGTTGAAGAAGAAAAGAAGTGAACTCAATAATTGACGAACGTCTATATAAGAAAAAAAAAATGATGCAGGTATACAAAAAACAAGAGCATATGCAATGCGACTATTTAATGCATCTTCTTGGTGCTTAAAATATATCAGGCGCTTTAGGCCTGAATGACATAATATATATAGAAAACACCCAGACTAATACAAACAAGTATACTCATGAATACAATAGTTTGTACCGTGCGAGCCCGCCCGAATCGAACCCGCGACCATCGGAAGCAAAGCTAAATCGCTTGACCACCGAAGCCGACGAGGCATTAGCACACCGCTTTGTTTCAGATGGTTGCGGGTTGGATTCCTCACAGGAATATAGGACAGCCTACCGTCGTATTCTCACATATTTTAGTTTGTTATCGGTGCTTCCATCACTGTTCACGAGTTCTGGACTTACTATATTTAGATTTAATTTGAGGTACAAAATCAACAGATCATGACGCTCTCGAATTATAAAAAAGCTGAAATTATAAAAGTGGATAATCTCAAGAAATTTCTTGCTATATTAAGAACCATATCTACCTGTACTCAATAATTTTGTTCGTTTTACCTGAAGTCTTTAAATAACTAACAATCAATTTAATTATAATCTACAATGACATACGCAATCCGATATAAAACGGTCGGGCGTTTAATATATCGCTCCAAAAATAAACAATGAATCACACAAATCGATAAGTATATAAATACTGATTGACGTCATAACTTTAGAAATTAAGTTGTAGTAAAATTTATACGTTTACCCCTGAGGTGACACATTTACCCCTGAGGCGACCCGTTTACCCCTGGGTCGAACGGTTCTTATGGACGATATGGAATTCTGCGTGTCTGCGCTAACGGTTTACGCTGGACGATAATGGCGCTAACGGTTTACACTGGCAGAGCACCTGTGGAGGATGATAATATGATCATGAGGCTGACCTCATGCTCATCTTATCAACCTCCACTGGTGCTCTGAACTAACCTGAGTCAGTTAGCCCATAATGATAAATCCACCATAAATTAATCGCGATAATTTCCAAGGGGAATCATGTGGAGGTCAACCTGACTGGACTTATAACCCCATTGCTAGCAATGGGGTTACCAGTCCACATTACTAACAATCTTTCCCCCAGGTCACCGGTAACATTTTTGTATGAAACAGGAAACACAAACAAACTAACCATCTGATGTTAATGATAACTGCTGCCTATATAATTATAATAATATTTCAGGACAATTCACACAGCGCCATCTAATTCCAAGGTAAGTAGATCTTGTGTTATGGGTATTAGACAACTTATATAAACACATGGATACAATTACACACATAGATCGAGACGGACCGATTCAAACAATTGTACTCGTGTATTCAAATGTTTGTACGGTGCGAGTTATCGAACCTAGAACGCTAAGCTGCTACATCACCAAACATG